ACTGCCATAGCAAAGAGCTGGATCAGAAGTGGAGCAGCTGGGACTCAAACTGGCGCCCATATGGGATGCTGGCACTACGGGTGGCAGGCGGCTTTACCTGCTTTGCCACAGTGCCGACACCAACCACGCCTTCATCCTAGTTAAAATCACCAGACGTCCCTGCTAATGGATGTGAGTCACCACTGACTGATGAAGGCACGTCCGCAGGTAAACTGCTCTTCAAAAGAAACACAGCTCTGGTGGGCATTTGGCGGTGGTTAGGATGACACTTTGGGGGAGGGGGCAGCGCCATGGCGCAGTAGGTTAATCCTCCGCCTGCGGCAGTGGCATCCCATATGGGCGCCGGTTCTAGTCCCAGCTGCTCCTCTTCCAATCCAGCTCTCTGCTGTGGCCTGGGAAGGCAGTGGAGGATGGCCCAAGTCCTTGGGCCCCTGCACCCACGTGGGAGACCGGGAAGAAGCTCCTGGCTCCTGGCTTCAGATCGGCGCAGCTCCGGCTGTTGCAGCCATTTGGGGAGTGAATCAACGAAAGGAAGACCTTTCTCTCTCTGTGTCTCCCTCTCCCTGCCTGTAACTCTACCTCTCAAATGAATAAATAAAATCTTTAAAAAAAAAAAAGATGACACTTGGTACCAGTGTTGTGGCACAGTAGGTAAAGCTGCCTGTGATAACAGCCTCCCTTATGGGCACCGGTTCTAGTCCCAGCTGCTCCACTCCTGAGCCAGCTCTCTGCTATGGCCTGGGAAAACAATGGAAGACGGCTCAAGTGCTTGGGCCCCTGCCACCCGTGTGGGAGACCCCGATGGAGTTCCAGGCTCTTGGGCCAGGCTATTGAGACCACTTATGAAGTGAACCAGCAGATGGAATCAATCTCTCTCCCTCTCTCTGTCTCTGTCTCTGTCTCTCCCTCTCTTCTGTATAACTCTATGCTTCCAATAAATAAACAAGTCTTAAAAAAAAAAAAAAAGCACAATGCTTGAGATGCCTGCATCCCATATCAGAATGCCTGGGTTAAGTCCCAGAGCAGCTTCCAAATTCCAGCTCCCTGCTAATGTGCCCTAGGAAGTTCCAGGCGATGGCTCAAGTAGTTGGGTCCCTGCCACTCCTGTGGGAGACCTGAATTGAGTTCCCGGCTCCTGGCTTTGGCCTGGCCCAGCACGGGCTGTTACAGGCATTTGGAAAGTAAACCAGTGAATGGGAGCTCTCTTTCTCTGTGTCTATCTGTCTCTCTCTCCGCCTCTCAAATTACGGTTTTTTAAAAAACTACTTCATACATGAATAAGTTTATGTACTTTAATTTTTTATTTGTTATAATGGGACCAAAGATACTTGCATTTATTAATAAACATGTTCCTTTTAGCCACCTTGAGAAAAGGTACAACAATGCATATTCTTGCAGAGGTTGTGAGATGGTATATTCACCAAATTTGGTAATATGCTACAAAATGCTGATATATGACGGGCAATTCAGAGTTGTCGACTTCCTAGTTTCCTCTGGAAAATAGGGTTAATAAGGATTGGAAATTATAATCAATATGAAGAAAAATACTAGAAATAATCAAGGTGAAGGGAAACACCTCTATATGCAAAGTATTCATGGGATGTAGGATTTGGTGTTTGTTTTTTTTTTAAAAGAGTAATTCTGTCCTAAAGTAGCTACTTAGCTATTCCCGAAAGAAAAAGAGAAAAGTGATAGATGAACACTTGATGGACACACGACGTCATAAAGGGGCTGTGGGAGGCAATAGAAGGAGGGGATTTTATTTTGTGTGGTCACATTGGCTAAGACTGAATGGGTGTATTATAAGGCTTTTAAATGAGCTTTAGTAGTAATAGTGCACTAATACAAAGCTAGAGTTTGGCTGTCTCTTTGGAAAAAAAAATAATTTCTTGGATTATCTTTACAATTTGAAAAGTCTGCCCAGGAAACTGCTACAGTCTTGTAACCACCTGCTAGTCAGACACCGCACCGTCAGCTGAAAGGAGTGTGGCAAGTCCCATGGAGAGGACCTCGGCAGGTGCTCAGGACAGAGGCTTCTGGTGGCGTTGCCTCAGTAACTCCAGGGCCAGAGCGCTGCACTGGGGACTGCCAGAGCTGCTGGAGAAGCTAATGGGTTCATAAAACTGCTCAGTGCAGATCAAACGGAACAAGGACGCATCACATGCACCGAGCGAACCGCTGAAGAATGATCATGATTTTACAGCCTTTTTTTTTTTTTTTTTTTTTTTTTGCAGGAGGGGGACATCACTGGTTGTTTAATGTTTTATTTTCTGGATATAATAAATCCCTTTCTCTTTTTTTCTAAGCTATCTACAACTCACAACAGTTTGGTAGATCATACCCTAATAAACAAAAGTGAAATATTTATCACCCTACCTGATCCTCCTAGAAATTGGAAAATCTTACTGAATGTATTTACTTTCATGGCATTACAGTTATTTGAAGAAGTCAGGTAAGAATCTGTTCTTACCATCACAAGACATAACTGAGGAAACTGGTTGTAGTACCACGGCTTTGTGGAATGTCATATTTGAGAATGGGCACAGAATCAGGCATAGCCCGACAGCTTTAAGGAATGAAGGCTAACTTCAGAGAGCCACTGCTCACAGAACCGTCCTGGCATCTTCTCCCAGCATTCTCAGTCTCACAGGTAAGTACGGAAGTCACTTCCTGGCACGCCCGGGACTCTCAGACTATTTGGGGCCCTTAAGAAGCAAGGAATTCTCCTCGCACACTTCAGATGAGATGCGATCGTGATTCTTGGCTTGGATGCTACTATCAAGACTTTATAAAGCCCTTATAAACATTCTGACAAAGCAACCTCTAAAAAGCCCTATGTGGGAGCAGGCATTTAACCTAGTTGTTAGTGGCTAGGATGCCCACATCCCACACCAGGGTGCCTGGGCTCAACTCCCAGCCACAGCTCCTGAATCCAGCTCCTGCCAGAGCAGGTCCTGGTAGGTCGTGGTAATGACGCAAGTAATTGGGTTCCTGCCACTGGATTGAGTTTCTGGCCTTGGCTCCAGCCCTAGCCTAAACCCGGCTGTTACAAGTATTTGGGAAATGAACCACTAGATGGAAATGCCTGCTTGCACTCTCTCGCTCGCTCTCTCTCAATCTCTCTGTTTTTCAAATAAATAAACAAAAAAATTAAAAATCTTGCTGTGGTCAATTATTCTTGCTACATTTACGTAAATAATCAGACCAAATTTAATGAGACTAGATTTATTTTGCAAACAAGAGTAATTTTACCTTTCATCAAAATGAGAGTGATTATAGACAGAAATTTTATTTTTCAATGGAAAACTATAACTCTAGCAGATTCTAGTCCTGCTAATCATCTTTGAGCTATTTTTCGCCTTTTTGTAAACTGAATCCTGCCATTTTGCACATTTCATCAGCAATTCGTGATTCCAATTTTTCCGCCCTCCTTCCTGACACAGCAGCACTGAGAACTAACTTAACACCCAGACTCCAGGTATCTGGTTTCAAAGCCCTAGAAGCAAATGCTGGATGACTTGATACAAACTTCAAAGGACTGATTACTGTGGTGGTTCGGACCACTCAGGAAGTTCATCAAACACCCATTTCTTGGGGCCGGCACAGTGGCGTAGGCAATGCCGCCACCTGCAGGGCCGGCATCCCATATGGGTGCTGCTTCAAGTCCCAGCTGCTCCATTTCCGATCCAGCCCTCTGCTGTGGCCTGAGAAAGCAGCAGAAGATGGCCCAAGTCATTGGGCCCCTGCACCTGCATGGGAAACCCAGAAGAAGGTCCTGTCTCCTGGCTTCGAATCAGCGCAGCTCTGGCCATTGTGGCCAACTGGGAGTGAACCAGCAGGTAGATTTCTCTCTCTCTCTCTCTCTCTTTCTCTCTTTCTCTCTCTCTCTGCCTCTCCTTCTCTCTGTGTGTAACTCAGACTTTCAAATAAATAAATAAATCTTTTTTAAAAAAACCCACATCTTCCATGTTCTGCTCTGAGAGATAATCATAACATGACAACAATGTTCCCCCTCTGCCAACTAACTATTTACTGACTTGAAATGCTGAGTGACAGAGAGAGGAGAGAGAGAAAAAAATACCTTTCATCTGCTGGTTCACACATCCCAGTGGCTGCAATGGCTGGGGTTTGTCCAGACAGAAGCTAGGAGTCTGGAACTCCATCTGGGTCTCTCACGTGGGTGCCAGGGGTCAAGGCACTTGGGCCATCTTCCACTGTTTTTCCCGGAGCATTAGCAGGCTACTGAATCAGAAGTACTCAAGTATCAAGTACTCAAGTATCAAGTACTCAAGTAGCAAGTACTCAAGTAGCAAGTACTCAAGGTGGTGCTCCACTACAGGATGCTGACCTCATGAGTGGGGGCCTCACCCGCTGTGCCACGATGCTGCCCGCCCTTTCTCTACCGTGTAAAGATGCTTCGAGCCTGGCATCCAGCAGTTTCCTCAAGCAGCTGCCCTCTGGACTCAGAACCCAGATCCGTCACCTACTGAGCCACCCATCTTTGTTTCTCTGTTTGCTTTCTCGTGCTGACGTCTGCGCTCTCCTCCTTTGAGGACTCTTTACCTCGCAATTTCTAACCTGGGCCCTGACTCCACAGCCATCAACCTGCTCCCCTGTGTGTGTCACTTCAAGGGGAGGTTCAGAGGGGCGGGACGTGGAGATCCACTCAGATCCCCTGCATTAGTTCGTTTTCGGTTTCTACAACACACCTGAAGCCGGGCACTTCATAAGGAAAAGAGGTTTACTGAGCTCACAGTTTTGGAGGCTGACGGTAGCCGCGTTGTTCACCCACTGCTGAGGGAGGGGCACGTGATGGCACAGGCAGCCAGAGAGCAGAGGGCCAGGCTCACCATCCTGCAGCTCACTCGGGGAAGCACAAGTGGAGGCCCCTGAGAGCTTCCTGAATCTCTTCCCAAAGCAGTGCCCAGTGGCCCAGCCACCTCCCACTAGGGCCTCCCCTACATCTCCCCACAGTGTCACTCTGAGAACAATGCCTCCAGGTCTCCCCTACATCTCCCCACGGTGTCACTCTGGGAACCATGCCTCCAGGTCTCCCCTACATCTCCCCACAGTGTCACTCTGGGAACCATGCCTCCAGGTCTCCCCTACATCTCCCCACAGTGTCACTCTGAGAACCATGCCTCCAGGTCTCCCCTACATCTCCCCACGGTGTCACTCTGGAACCATGCCTCCAGGTCTCCCCTACATCTCCCCACGGTGTCACTCTGGGAACCATGCCTCCAGGTCTCCCCTACATCTCCCCACGGTGTCACTCGGGGAACCATGCCTCCAGGTCTCCCCTACATCTCCCCACAGTGTCACTCTGGGAACCATGCCTCCAGGTCTCCCCTACATCTCCCCACGGTGTCACTCTGGGAACCATGCCTCCAGGTCTCCCCTACATCTCCCCACAGTGTCACTCTGGGAACCATGCCTCCAGGTCTCCCCTACATCTCCCCACAGTGTCACTCTGGGAACCATGCCTCCAGGTCTCCCCTACATCTCCCCACAGTGTCACTTGGGGAACCACGCCTCCAGGTCTCCCCTACATCTCCCCACAGTGTCACTCTGGGAACCATGCCTCCAGGTCTCCCCTACATCTCCCCACGGTGTCACTCTGGGAACCATGCCTCCAGGTCTCCCCTACATCTCCCCACAGTGTCACTCGGGGAACCATGCCTCCAGGTCTCCCCTACATCTCCCCACAGTGTCACTCTGGGAACCATGCCTCCAGGCCTCCGCTACATCTCCCCACAGTGTCACTCTGGGAACCATGCCTCCAGGTCTCCCCTACATCTCCCCACAGTGTCACTCGGGGAACCACGCCTCCAGGTCTCCCCTTTATCTCCCCACAGTGTCACTCTGGGAACCATGCCTCCAGGTCTCCCCTACATCTCCCCACAGTGTCACTCGGGGAACCATGCCTCCAACACATAAAAGCTCAGGGAATAAACCACATCCAAACCCCAGCACCCCAGAGTTGGGATAACAACCATTGCAGTGTTAAACTACGTGAGCTCAAGAAGCAGCAGAAACAAACGTCCCTGAACCTCCTCTGTCTGACTGAGCACAGCCTGCAGAGAACCCGCCGCCACCAACCCCCTCCCGAGGGAGCTGCGGGGACGTCAGCTCCCATTAAGACTGTCCAGTGCCTGCCCAGCTTCCTTGGCATCAAAAAGTCTGAAAGAACCTTCCATGCCTTGTCACAGAAGCCCGATAAAAACCATTTTGTGAGTTTGGCCTATAAATTTTGTATCTCTGGTGATTAAGGGAGTATTTCATCCCTGATTGTTCCCACGTGTGCTTGTAAATAAGCTTGTCTTCCTTTCTGTTAATCTGTCTTTTGACAGTTAATCTGTGGCCTGGACACACTGGACTTTAGTTGTAAGAGGAAGGTTTCCTCCTCACACTATCCTTTCTTATCTTCCAGAATCAGATCAGAACACTCTTTCACTATTCTAAGAGCAAAAATAATAGAAAACATAAGCCAAAGAATACCAGGAAATGGGAAATTTCCATTATGCACAAATTCAGTTTTAAAATGAGTCAGTAGGTGGCACCAAAGAAGAAAGAAGTATCTCTGACGAATGCAAAGCTCTCTTGGAGTTCTGGAAGTCAAATAAAAGCCACTGCTTTGGATGGTCTGCTCTGTTTGACCCCTAAATGCCCTACTTTAGCACAGTTTGAAACTGAAAACGGCCTCAAGACCACTATGAAAGGAAATAAAAAAATCACAAATAAAAATAAAACTTGGGGGTTCAGCCTAGTGGTTAAGATGCCCACACCCCACACTGTAACTCCTGGGTTCAAGTCCCAGCTCCACCTCCTAACTCCAGCCTCCTGCTAATGCAGCCCCTGGAGGCAGCAGCAATGGCCCAAGTAATTGGCTTCCTGTGTGGTGTTCTTGGCTCACATGTTTGTTTTTTTAAGATTTATTTATTTATTTTAAAACTCAGAGTAACAAAGAGAGACAGAGAGAGGGATCTTCCATCAGCTGGTTCACTCCCCAGATGGCTACAATGGCCAGCCCTGGGCCAGGTCAAAGCCAGGAGCCAGGAGCTTCATCCGGGTCTCTTGTGTGGGTGGCAGGGGCCCAAACACTTGGGCCGTCCTCTACTGCTTTCGCAGGTGCATTAGTCGGGAGCTGGATCAGAAGTGGAACAGACAGGACTCATACCAATGTCCACATAGGATGCCCTCATCGCAGCCCGTGGCTTTATCTGCCACACCACAGTGCTTGCCCCAGCTCCCAGTTTCAGTCCAGGCCCAGTCCAAGCCCAGTCCAGGCTGTTGTGGGCATCTGGGGAATCAACCAAAGAGTGGGTGCTCCCTCTGTCTGCCTGTTTATCTCTTTTTCTAACTCTCAAACAAATTTTAAAAACGCTTTAAAATTTGGAAAATATTTTGAAAAAATCTCATGTATTGCTGCTAAAAACAGATTCTGGGAATGCGGCTTTCTGAGTTAGACACAAAGTATATTGCCTTTAAGGAATCTGGGGCTCCCCAGAGGTACACCTGCAGGCTGAAATCCACTGAAACAGAGCAAGGGTAATACGGAGAAAGCTCTCCTAGGGTAGAGGTATAGGAGCATTTGGACAGAACCCAACCCTGTGTGTGGCATTTCCAGCAGCTGGGCAGGGACTCCTGCCATTTAGCCAGAAAAATAGAGAGCTCTCGCAATCTCTTAGAAAGGTTTGTTGCTGCTGTTTCTTCATAAAGATATTCAGCAACGTTAAGAAAGAACATTCTCTTACATTCCTAAGAATATCTCCCAAATTCATCTTGCCATTTCTGTCCATCCCAAACCAACAGCAAAAGCACACTGTCACCCACGATGCCACCAGCAAGCTGAACTCCCTCCTGATGAAGCCTCGGAGAGATGTCCCTCTCGAAAGACAGGTCCCCTCCAATGGCTAAGCCACCACTGACCCCCAAGTCCCCTTCTCCAGCAAGACTCGAGACTTCCACTTACCCTGGCAAATTCCATGGGTTTGGGAAGAAGGCACATGACCATGACATCGAAGCGAACGTCGCACACAGTCTTCAACCACTTGGTGACAAACTGAGGCTTCAGTTTCTCCACCAGACTTCCAACTTCATCATCCATCATGTACGCCGTGGAGTGAAACCACTGGAACACCATGGCCACCAGCCGGGCCAAGCTTTCCGTGGGCGTATTCTCACTGGGCGTGCAGAGGCTCACCTGGAGGCGGCAGACCAGACCCCTGTTCAGCCCTCGTCCAGCTTTGCAACACTCTCACATGCACACTGAAAGGCAGGAGACGTTCCAGATAACCTGCTGCAGACAGGCAGATTTCAAAATGATGTTCACTCATCCACAAACTGGGTTCCTCTCTACCAGGATAGATGGATTGAGGCAATAATTTCCCCTCAAGATTTCACCTTCCAATATGCATTTTTCCCCGATAAGAAATATCTTACATAAGCTGTACTAATTAACCATTTAAAGAGTGAAGTCTATGAAGTCGGATTTCATCAATATCTGCAGTGAAAATAATCCATATGTGTATTTTATATATATATTCCAGACCTAAAATGATCAAGTACAGGTAATAATTGTTCATTCCAAACTCTGAAACTCTGGAACCCCACAGACTTTTTAAGATGTCACTCCCTCTGAAGCCATCTTTTCTTGACCACTGAGGCAGGGCCCAGGAATACAAAAAATAAATCAAACACTGTCCCTGACTTCAAAGGGTTCACAGCAGTAGCCTTAGTGTCATTAGATAATAAATTTGAGAAAGCAAGACATGTGAAATCAACAATTATCTCAATCTGGTAAAGACATTTTCTGGAAACTATGTGCAACCATGAAAGACATCTATCACCATGGAGACCTACTGCATGCCCAACAGAGGCAGAACTGACTGGTTGGCTTGCCTGGGACTTTGGGTCTATGTTTGAGCCCAGCTGAATCAATGCTGCAACTAAATCAGGCAGAAGCAGTCACAGCCCTGGCCTAGGCTGGGCTACCACTTCTTGGGGTACGCAGATTTGTCACAAATACACAGAAACCTCTACAGAATTTTCTAGAACTGTTTCATGGGTGGAGATGGTGAAACATAAACCGCGTGGAACCCAGTGTTGGCCAACACACACCAGCTACTTCTCCACTTGTTTCTTGTTGAAAGGTACATTTTAATTCATTTAGGCCCTGGCATTGCAGGTTTCAACATCCGCCTGTTCAGCAAAATCAACCAGGGATCTTTGTAAAATTCTCAAGATTCTGGGGAGGGGCTGGCGCTGTGGCAAAGCAAGTAAAGCCGTCGCCTGCAGCAGTGCCAGCATCCCATGTGGGCGCCAGTTCGAGTACCGGCAGCTCCACTTCTGATCTGGTTCTCTGCTATGGCCTGGGAAAGCAGTAGAAGATGCCCCAAGTCTTTGGGCCCCTGTACCTAAGTGGGAGACCTGGAAGAAGCTCCTGGCTCCTGGCTTCCAATTGGTATAGTTCTGGCCGTTGCAGCCATCTGGGGAGTGAACCACAGATGGAAGATCTCTCTCTCTCTCTGTCTCTGCCTCTGCCTCTCTTTAACTCTGCCTTTCAAATAAATAAATAAAATCTTTTTTTTTTTTTTTTGACAGGCAGAGTTAGACAGTGAGAGAGAGAGAGAGAAAGGTCTTCCTTTTTCCTTTGGTTCATTCCCAAGTGGCCGCTACGGCAGGCACACTGCACTGATCTGAAGCCAGGAGCCAGGTGCTTCCTCCTGGTCTCTCATGCGGGTGCAGGGCCCAAGCACTTGGGCCATCCTCCACTGCACTCCCGGGCCACAGCAGAGAGCTGGACAGGAAGAGGAGCAACCGGGACAGAATCCAATGCCCCAGCTGGGACTAGAACCCGGGGTGCCAGTGCCGCAGGCGGAGGATTAGCCTAGTGAGCCGCGGCGCTGGCCAATAAATAAAATTTTTTAAAAAATTGTGGGGAAGGATCTGGGCCTTGTTATTTTTTAAAAGCTTTTCTAGATAAATCTAATGTGCACCCCAGGGCTGAGAACTGCCCCATTGCAAAGGTCAACTTTTCACTAATTATGATGCCCTCCTTTCAAAAGCACAGGAGAATGTCCTATGCGTGCAGTGTTGTTATGGGAAATAAGAAAGCAGAGAACGGTTCATTTATTTCACTTACTAAGAACCATATTCCAAATTGACTGAGCAGCCGCTGGTCATGTTTATCGTCGTCCTTGTTATCAAAGTCAGCATTATCCAGGGAGTGGTGGGATGAGGAGAGGCCCAGCTGCCGCCGCCGGTTCAGCTCGTACTCCCGCTGCTCCGCGTGGAACTCGGCTTCTTTCAACAAGCTGCCGAGGCAGGGGGATTTGAGTCAGGCGACTGAGAGACAGGTTCTAGATCATGACCTATTTATAACCATGACTTCATTACTCAAGCACCAGACTGCTCTCCTTTAAATTGGCAGGAGTTATTCCCTGAGGCCTTGTTTCATTTCCTTACTATTTTGTACTCCATTTCCACTTCTAAGACGAACAAACTGAGGCACAAAGCGGCTACTTCCTCCAATTAATTAGAATCCAATGTCTGGCCCGCCACCTCCCACCGTAAGTCACTGCTTCCCTTTATATCTGGCTTGAAGCTTCGGGGAAGACAAAGTGCATGATACAAGGAGAGACTGGGGAACTTGCACGCAGATGGAAACACTCAATGTCTACTATTTGAGACCTGAAAGGAAAGCAATGAAGAGGCCTCTTTCAATCTGCTTTACAAGCATCAATGTCGGCAAGAATACAGCAAAAACTAGTAACTTCACATGCACTGTTGCCATCGTTCATCCGGATCAAGCTTTGGGAAGCAGCTTGGTAATACATCGAGAGCCATTCACACACGCATATCCTTCGATTCATCAACCTGCATCTGGTAATCTGCCCCAAGAAGACAGAAAATGCAGGCAGGGCACTACCTACAAAAATACTCATAAGCGTAAAAAAAATGGAAGCAATCTAAATATCTAATAGTGGAGAAAAGTGAGTTATGTCTAGAAAAATATTATCATACACCCACCAAAAATGACACATAGAAAATGCACAACATGTAAAAGAGCTAAGTGTATAATATCAGAAAGAACTGTGGATGCACTGTGGTCAGAGTTACACGAATGAAACACGGATTGGGATAAAATGGGAACATGTTTTAAAACTGACAGAGACAGTGATGTGGCTGGTATTTTTTTCTCTCTTCCCAAACTTCCCATCACGTA